TAAAGTTTTATTTTCCTGTGCTGTATTTTCTTTGTTTATATCTCGTATTATTTATTTTAGCATTACTTATTTTGGCTGTAGGCAGAATGATCAAACAGCTGTAAAGACTTTACAACACTACCTTAAATAATAATTCGATACTATAAATGAATAAACACTAAATAGGCAATCCAAAACCTTCATATTAACACTTTGTTTATCACACTAATCTTAAAACACAGCTTTGTTTCTTTTGAATAAACCTCGTCTATTATATTATTGATATCACACTTTACTATCGGCATATTGTACGGTCACTTTCTCGAAATAATGTAGACCTTACTAATCAACCAATCAAGATTCTTACTTATTTTGGTTCGAATTTATTTAGGGGTAAAGTTAAGACACTCGGCACTTTCTATTAGCCTCTAAGATTGACATTCACTTCGTCGGGCTGATCTCTGTTGGTGTTAGACGATCCCCTAATATGGTACAGTTAACCATCAAATGCCTAATTTGGTAAAATAGTTAACGTTAGTCATTGTTTTATGGCGCACTGGTGCGTCACCCGAAAGAAGTATCATATGATTCCGTCTTCAATAATTTGTGAGTCAGTTCCTCCTGCAGTTAGAGTCGATTTAGAGAGTTGATCAAAATCCCGATTAGTTAGTCCTAGGGTTGTGTTAACTTACCTGACAATGTAACTTACATTGTAAGTTACATCGTAAGTTACATGACCTCGTGTAAGTTACAAATATATATGATGTTAAAGCAGGTCGGTATTAAGATACTTTGACCAGCATTGAGATGAAATAGAAAGAAAATTTTTAATTTTAGGCCAAAAGCTAAAGCAGGCCAACTTTAAAAATATTGGCCAGCATTAGATTAGTGTAACATTTGTAAGTTACGTAAGTTACGTAAGCTAAAATTTAACTTACGTAAATTAGGATAACTTACCGTAAGTTATACAACCCTAGTTAGTCCCACATTAAATTTGAGTTAGGGTTGTAATGACTTAGCTGACAATGTAACTTACATTGTAACGTAAGTTACATGACCCTATGTAAGTTAAGCAGGCCGGTTTTGATATAAATTGCCGGCAAGAGTAAATTTAACCAACCAGCATTAAGGTTATTAAAAGATGAAATTTATTATTATTATTATTATACTAACTTACCTTACATGGTAACTTACATAAAATGTAACACATTTTAAAAATAACTTACAATAAGTTATCTTGATTCTATTGTTAGGATTTTAACCTAACTCTTCATATGTAACAAGTCCCAACTAGGATAAAATCACCACCTTAAAAAATCTCGCTGGCCAATCAAATTCAAGATCAGGTGTAACCTAGCATAAATCGCTCATAACTCAAATTTAATATATGTATTATGAACAGTCTTCTGCGCATTAATAAAAAATTTTCCTTGTAGAATTTGGTATATAAAATTTATTCGTACCATATACCTTGCTAGTATACACATCTTGTGAATGAATTTGTTTAATTGGTTCTGGTTTAATTTTATTAGCTTCTAAATTTTTTTCTGATTTCAGTATCGTCATCCTGATCCATTTCATCTGACCAACGAATGATTATTTCAATAATTTTTTGTTGCAGTAGGTTGTGTATCTAGTTCTTTATCCATACATTTCTTAGCTAATTCAATATAACAATCAGGTCCTAAACATTTAGGACTTGATCCGCTGATAATTCTTGACACAAGATAGCCATCAAATGGATTCCGTCAATGCTCTTTGTCCGGTCAGAATCTCTGTCATAATGACTCCAAAACTATAAATATCTTATGCTTGAGTATACGGTTGACCCACTAAAACCTCTGGCGCTATATATTGCAGAATTCCATAAAATTTTCCTTTACTGTAAGTAAATAATTTCCGCTGTGTAAATCTCTGTGAACGAGTTCTTGCGAATGAATTGACTCAAGATCCGATACAAGAGATTCAATTTATCATTCCACTTCAATTATGTTACTTGTACAAGATTTTGTCATAATGAACCTTTTACCGCAAGCTTTACAACAATAAAATAGTTATTTTATGATATGCAAATAATTCAGGAGCGAAGGATTCTTGTAACCAATTTTACAATAAGTCTTAATTTTTTGAATAAATTCTTGCACATCATATTTGAATCACCTTAAGTGCAACATTCCACCATTCCATCATTAATTCTATCGAACCAATGCGCCCAATGTACAGTTCTTTTCCTCATTCATCGATTTTTCTGAACTCATTATAATCAATCCAGAATAACTTAAATCTCTCATGTCTAATATTTTAAGTTCAGGATTGATATTATCTGGTGATTTATAAAAGACTTTATATTTTGTGAACCAATAATTTGCCATCTGAATGTCTCTCTTGTACCAATACCGTTACGATAAATTAGGAAAATGCTATTAATTGCCGGTTTATTACCCGCATTAGCAGCTTTTTCAAGGTATTCAAATGTTTTATTATAATCTTTCTTTTTCCTCTTGATAATAAACACCAAGATTACATATCCTGATAGCATTATCCAAATCAGCAGATTTCTTATTATTCAAATGTTTTTTGGTAATTTATTTGTACCCCAATTCCATAACAATAACAATTACCATAAATTATGGAAAATAAGCACAGCACCCTCTACCCTGCTTTTTTCAATTTCAGATTAACGGAAATAACTTGATTAAAGATTTTATTGCTATTTCCACTAATCTGAAATTGAAAAAAGTAGGGTAGAGGGTGCTGTGCTTATTCTCCATATTTTACGGTACTTACACTATTCATCGCTTTCGGATTTCCTAACTCAGCTGCTCTCATATAATACTCAAAAGTTCTTTTCGTCTTTCAACAATACCATGTTGATAATTTTGTCCAAGTTTAAAAAGTTGATCGGAACCCTTTTTTTTTTTTTTAAAGAGGAGAAAAAAGAATCATACACTAAATAAAACGCGAACTTTAATTGTTTCGGAGCGTAGCAGAGAACACTTAATGCTTCGTCAGAATAATACAAAAGTTACAACAATAAGTTGTGGTTTTGATTAATTCATTAGTTGTCCTATATTGTTGTACCAAAACATAAATTTAAAAAATATTCATGTTTAGCCGCATGGCGTTAGCTACCGTAAATTTTCGAAATAATGTCTAGGAGAAGTCGACGCAACTAAAGCTGAAGTTTCAGCAATTGTTCGAAAAGTTTTTTTTTTAGGCTGTTTAGGTGGCATAACGAAAATTATGAAAAATAGAAAGAGTATGCTCAAGCATTTAATTCTATAAATATCGTGATGCTTGAACATCACATGATTATAATTTAATCAATTGATTGGATGCTTGAGAACTTCCTTAGTCAACATTATGTTCTTTCGGGAAAATGAACTTCAGGAAAATCCTCATTTACTGCCACGACCACGTTACCTTTACCATAATAAAGATATGTGCATATTTTTATCGTCATGACATATACTATAAGCTACGTATTAATTTCAAGGGTTTTCGAACATAAATAATCCACTAAAATTAAGTTGGATAATTTTATAAACAGCTGACCGATAGCATCAGAATATTAGCACAAATACACAAAAATTCATAAAAAAACAATATTAAATGAAATAGAAAGGCGGTCTCTACTATTACCAGGAGAACAAAAGTGAGAATAAATATAAAGTTTTCTTTAAAAGATATCATCAGATTTATAAGTCGATTAAAATGTTATAGACTAGGTGTTGGACTCATCATTAAACGACAGATTTGATTAAACATCTTTTCAATTAACTTTACAATGTATAACCTTTTTAAAAACCATTAACCATAATATCTTACATGAATAAAGATTTTATTATTTTTTCATAAGACACATGCGACCAAAATAATTAATGTTAAAGAGATAATTGAAATAAATACCCACTTTCTCAAATTAATTATATAAAATATATTTGATTTCACTGTAACTTCTTCTACATCCCAATGACTGACTTTTTGCCATACCTAAAATGATATTTATATTTATTTTTAGCTCAGCGATGAAAAGTAGAAATACGTGCTGATGTAGCATAATACAGTATAGGAAAGGTTTGCCGGTTTTAATTTTTCTTCTTATTTGATGCTAGACTTTAGTGTGTGAACTAAACAAATCTTTGTAATTGTTTAGTTGAAAATACATATATTATTGTAAAGAATTCAAGCACTATCTATTGTTTTATATCTCCTTGATTTATTTATCATAAGTTATGTATTTTAATGAATGCATTGATTAAATCCTTCTAATATGATCCAACCACAGATAGAATATGTTAAAGATCAAACAGCAAGGGTTATGAAAGTTATCCTTACTCTTATACTGCATTTATTGTAAAAAAATTTTTTTGGCAAATATAAATACGTATAGATTTGACTAGTGCTCCGATTTGGATCAAAAAGCTCGGTTTGATCCGAAACAAACAGAATCCGAAATTTCGGGTTGAATCCGGAAGTATTTAATGGCTAAATATTTTAACATATTCGACTTGGAATTTATATATTAGTGCAATGTGAAAGAAAAAACTGGACCCAAATCTCAAAATTAAGCTTAATCCGGGCAATCCGAAATTTTTGGCCCAAACAATTTTACGGTTCGGGTTGGATGATAATCCGTTCGGAACACTAGATTTGACGATTTCAACTCATGCTCAGGTAATAATATGAGACGATCGAAAAGAAAGGCAATTAAAAGCGATTGATGCTTAAACACAGAGAAGTTTGATTAAATAAAACCATAACATCTAGGCTACGTATGAGATCTAAGATTTGATCTAAGATTATAATGAATGTCACGTGATTCTGTACGATCGAACATCTAAAATTAGATGGAGGCTTGTAGTCTAAGTCATTAACAGACGAGTCAACATGTTATATGAATTGAATGTTTGTTCACGTGCAGTAAATACTTATCTGATATGATATGGCTGTGCGATAATTTAAAATATATTTACTTCCCCACAAAAAACAGACCGACAGAATAAAAAATCTTTAGCAAAATGGAGCATGACATATTTGAAGTAACTGTTAAAGAAAAAGTTTTTGGCGATTTTAGTTTTGATGATTTTCCGTTTGTTGAGAAAAACAAATATGACATAGTCGATATACGAAATTTAACTTGTAAACATTTAGCCGAAGAATTAGATGAAAACGAACCTGATACGGATGAACTTGATATAATTATAAATAAGATATCAAAAATATTTGAAATACATATTATTAACACGTTCGGCGCTAAAATAAATACGAACAATGAAGAAGATATGTCTGTAAATCATATAATCTCTTATTTATCGTCAGATATAGACAAACTAGCAAAGTTATATGCTGCATTCTCTACTGAAATTATTAATTGTGTTAACTATGGAATGATTGACTTGAGACCATATAAATTAGCTGGTATTAATACATCAGTATTAAATGCTGGGATATTTTCTAGGGCTGGCAACCAAATTAGATTGTCCCATATAATCAATCATATGGGGCTTATTCAAAATCATGCCGATTTTATAGAGGAGTATAATAAAAGAATACATAACAGTAAGGTAGCCGATACATTCAATATCATGATTACTTCCATAGCAAATCACTTGACTCCTTTCGGTTCTTGTCCTCCGACATTCTTCAATACACAGTTAGATAAAAGTATATCATTCGCTCAATTGCTTTATCGAAATATAGGAGGCAATGACATGATTAAACAGGGTCATTTTGATCGGTTTGATCCAGCAATTTTACCGAGTTTAACGGAAATGCATAGTCATACTACTATCAAGTTCATCCCTCTAGATAGTCCCAAACTCGTGTTTAAGTTTGAAAATGATAAAGTGATGATCACAAAACTTTACATACATCCACATTGGATCGAAACTTTATGGAATATTGTAATGCTTGAGATGAGATCAAAGTGTGAACCAATAGTCAGTACTATAGTTTGCTTTTATATGGGAGTGCTAAAAAATGAAAAAGATTTCCACCTTGCATATCAGCTTGGCATGGTTTATAGTGGTCCAATAACTTTTACTCGATTTCACGAAATTATTTGTAAAATTTCTGAAGTAAGTCACTATAATTCAACTCTTGAAGGTACGAGGCATGTCAGAAACCTCGTATCAACTGTGAAGGCATTGAAGGAAAACTCTCTTTTGCAGTTATACTTAATTTCTGGAGAAAATGTGTTAATAAGATTTTTTAATATTTCTGCTATAATAATCTTATTGCTTACCATGGTGCAAACTGTTATTTCAATTTTATCTTATATGTTATCAGTAGAACAAATGAATCAATATAAATAAGTTCCAATATAATATCCTTTTGCATTTACAGTATGTCTTATTCTTGAACTTTAAAAGTGTAAATTTAAAGTAACAGACATATTGACACATGCCTTTGAATAATTTACTATATTAGTTTATTCGATTTCTGATTAATTAAAACTTTGCTTTTGTTTCATTGAATGAATTGCTTGAAACATCCTTTGCGGCTTATATAATGATCGAAATACTTAAATTATTCACTTTTCACTTTAAAATATTAAATGTTTTTGCGATACATTTCTTGTATTGAACCAACTTATTAAGTTCTGCCAATTCTATACTCAAATGCTCGTGGGCATAGGAAAAAAAAAGTACTGGCTAGTTATTACTCACAATTATTAATAAATACACCGCGTTTAAACTATAGTTGATGGTAGAATTACTGAATTACGGCATTTTATCAGTGGTAGAATTAATAGCATCTAATTGCCGTAAAAATTGTATGCCGTAATGCCGTAATGTTAATGCCGCAATAACACAATATTGTAATGCGATATCGTAACTACAATATAATATTATAATGTTATAATTAAGTAACTACGTAACTCCAAACCAGAAACTGAATACAGTATGTTGTTATTTGCCATACACGCATTTCATTTACGTTAATTAGTCGGTAAGTATAAAGGTTATTTATATTCTATTTAAAGTGTAAGAAAACTGTATGACAAAGGTGAAAAAAATATTCTATGATTACAAAGGGATGAAGCAAGATGCCTATAATGTGGAACAACAAAAGATGGAAAGTATAAATAAGGATACCCGATGATTGCACAAAAGCATTTCAACTAAGAGCCTTTACATATAATAATTACATTCAATGAACTAGATAATTTGGAAAAGAAGAGTTTGACTCTTTAACATTGTTTGAACTATCTAGTAATTACAACTGTTACATATTAAGTAATAAATAGAAAGTTTCATAAGTCATTAATAA